GATTCAAATATTATAACTCTATTCCAAAAATTATAAAGATCAGGCCAGATCCAAAAAACTAATAGGTAACAATCAGAGTAGCAGTTCGGAGATTGAAATCACCTTTTGGTACAGTAACTTGCAATCTATTGCCAACAAAATAAATGAATGGTCAATATCAATACAAAAACATAATCTTGCATGCATCTCAGTAATGGAGACTTGGCTTAATAAGAACATTGTTGATGGTCTTATTAGGATAGATGGGTATTGCGTATTCCGCCAAGACAGAGAAAATCAAACTGAAGGTGGAGTGTGTGTTTTGGTTAAGGATGAGTCAAATTTCTGGTCTCTTGTATATACAGAACGGATTATTCCAGTGAGGAAAATGATAATATTATGCATGCCTGTTTATATTATGGAGGATTTCAACTATCGGCCTATAGATTGGAAGAATCCTAATCTGTCCAACCCAGACAAACAAAATCAATTTTTTTTGGACAACTACTTTGAAACTAATGCTTACCAAATGGTTGATTTTCCAACTTGTTTCCGATAGGACCAAGTTTCTCCAATGATAAGAAACTGCTATATAACTTGGAACTCGAACCCTCCATAGGAAAGAGTTGGACCATGTTGTCATCATTGGAAAAAGTCAACTAAAATGTGAACTGAGTCCAACGAAAACCGTATGCAACTGCTTTAGTGCCGACTATAAAAAAATCAATAGTTTTCTGGCTGAGCAAATAATGCTGCATCGGGTGATGCGTTCCACATGTGCATGTCAATTTTAAACAGTGCTATAGACAAGTTCGTTCCGTTGAAACCATGTAAAATAAGCCCACAGAAACCGTGGCTAAACCAGTTCGTATTTAAACAAATAGAAAAGAAACGAGGTATATGGGGCAAATAGAAAAAATCAGCTACAGACGACAGTTACAAAAAATATCGCGAACAAAACAACTACCTTACAAATGTAAATAGAAAGTCAAGAAAAGACTATGAATGCAACATTGCCTCTCAGAGTTCAGATAAAACATTTTTTAAGTATGTGAACAAAACATTATCATCCAAAGTTTCAACAATAACATTAAAGAATGAATCAGATGAACTTTTGACTGACGACTTGATGTATCGGAATGCTTTGCAAACCAATTTGAAAAGGTATTTACCAGGGGAAATCAAGACGAAATGCAACTAATTCCGGAATACCTATGTGCAGCTCCACAGATGACAAATATTGACTTATAACTCCTGATAAGTTGTATGAAGCAATAAAATCGTTGGAGACAGATTCCAGCACAGGCCCTGATGGAATTCCAGCAGTGTTCCTGCAAAATTGTACAGCCATCCTGAGCCAACCCTTGTCTGATCTCATGAAAAGTATTATTCAAGCTTACAACTTTCCTGCGACTTGGTCAACTTCGTTTGTGATTCCAATATACAAAAAAAAAGACGAAACCGCTCCTTGGAACTATCGTCGAATAGGTTTGACATGTCGTCGCTGTTATTACGAACTGGCCAATCTCTGATTTCAGAACTTTTCAGGAGAGCGTTTTGAAGAAAACTCTACTGTTCATTTTATCTGTAGCAGAACTTGTTTTTTCATACATAACACAAAAGTATACTTACAACATTGAGGCATATCTTTTTAGAAAGAAAAGATTAGACTTTTTCTGTAAATAAATTATTAGGAAGATAGGCCCGTTCGTAATAACAAAAACAAATGTTTGGCTGTTTGACAAAGCAGATATGACGCTAAAATTGAATAATGGCCACACGGTGTTTCATGGAGATATGCCAGTTCGTCACAACATAGATATGGTTCTTTTGAGTATTTTTATGGAAATAACTCATTTTCGCCAAATATTGAGATAGGCCCCTTCGTACTGACAGCGACGATGTAATCTATGGAAGTGTATGGAAAAAATTGTAGTGAAACAGTTAACGCGATTTTCACTGGAGCAAAATCCATTACTGAAGCACCAACATGGCTTTCTTCCAGGGCATTCTACTACAAGTACGATTGATTGGACAAGGGACTTTGACAATAACATGCAAGTGGATGTGATATATCTCGATTTTGAGAAGTCGTTGGATAAGGTGTGCCACAGCTATCTCCTGCATAAATTACATCACTTTGGCAGTGCTGGGAGCTTGCTACAATTTGTATTAAATTTTCTATTGAATCGGTACTATCAAGTAAGAATTGGTACTATCAAGTAAGAATTAACATTTTCAGACAGAAGAAAAGTCCAGAGTGGGGTGCCCCAGGGATCAGTACTGGGCCCTCTACTTTTTCTAGTATATGTCAGCGATATGACATCAAATATCCAAACCAAAATCCTATTTTTTGCTAACGACACGAAATTGTATGCAAAGGCCGCAGAACACAAGAAATTGTAAGAGGATCTCAGAGCTATAGAAGTGTGGTCCAATACCTGGAAAATGAAGCTAAACGAAGAAAAATGTACTACCTTGAGCATTGGGACCAATACCACTGAATATGTCTACAGAATAAACAATATTGAGCTGAAGCATGTGAGAGAACAAATGGATTTAGGTGTCATACTAACCTATAATCTGAAATGGGAGATGCACATAACAAAAATAGCCAAAAAATCCAACTCATACATATATAACGGGTCTTCAAAAAAAAAAACAATCGAAGATTGCTTTGACTACGAAAACGTACGTCGCATTACTGTTTCTTTATTCGTCAGGATTTTTGACAGGACATTTTGACATTAAATTTCATTGACAAAATTAAAGACAAATATTGCTAAGACATACGTTTAAAAAACCATAGCAATCTTTGATTGGTTTTTTTTTGAAGACCCGATATATACCTTGTGAAAAAGGCCTTTGAAGACCAGTCGTGTGACACCATTATGAAACTGTTAAATCTTCTATACATCTAAAACTAGGATACACCCAGTCAGTTTGGAATCCATACTTCATAAAGGATATTGAGATACTAGAGCGTGTGCAGAGACAAGCAAAAAAGATTTTTTACGGATATGCGCACTCGCAAGGAAATGTCCTATCACGCTCGAGAAGCGGCAAGTGGGCGGAAATGTCGGTGTATGTTGGTCTTGAAACGGTTCAGGTTGTAACCTGCAGGGAAAACCGTCGCAGGGAGTTTATTCCACAGCGATGCTGTTCTCCAGAGATATGAATTCTGATATAATGAGGTTCTTGGTGCCTCTAGTTTGACAGTAAATTCATGGTTACCGTCTGTTTGACGGGTTCGCCTGGTAGGTGCTACTCTCGGTGGAATCATACGTGCCAACTCTTCAGAGCATTTTCCGTGATAGTACCTGTAGAAGAGAGATAAATCGCCCACAGATCTGCGATGTTCGAGACCATCCAAGTTACGAGTAAGTGCGGGGTTATTGATCAGCTTGATAGCTCGTTTTTGCACGGTATTCAAAAGCATTAAGGTATGTTCCAGATTCCACCATCACTCCGTAATGAAGATTATCTTATTCGACTATCCACTTTGGGACTTACTTCTTTGAGGGAAAGGCGTCTGAGAAGAGATCTGATCGAGAAATACAAGATTATTCGAAATGGCTACTCCTGTAACCTTGACATCTTTACCTTCAATGACAACCCCCATCTATGAGGTCTTACTTTAAATTTGTACAAGGAAGAAACCGTCAAGCTTCCAAGAAGGAACTTCCTAGCAAATCGAATTGTCTACCCATGGAACAGCCTGTCAAATTCTAGTCACCGTGCAGAGTTTGAATTCTTTCAAGAATAAGGTCGACACCGATATGAGTGCATTATTCCAAGTGGATATTCATTATGGACAATAACTTATTAAATACACGACGATCAACATACAAGTAATCCAATAGTTTCATCAGTGTAAACTGTTCACTATTGTACCATAATAATAATAATAACTAATAACTAGGACTCCAAGATCATTTTGCTCAGTGACTTCTTCAGAACATATTCTTGATTGGGATTGTTTGGGCCGATTCTAAGGACTGTGCATTTTGGCTCGTTGAGTTTCATATCCCAAGTTTCAGTCCATACTTCAACATTATGTAAGTCTGCTTTTAGTTATGCCACATTGAGCAGATGGTTGGCATATAGTTTTCCGTCGTCCGCAAAACTTGTCATTTTTGTTTCAATACAACTAACAAGATCAAAAAGGTATGTTATAAAGAGCAGGGGGCCCACAACCGATCCCTGGACAACTGCACTCCTCACAAGGTGTTGTCTTGAAATTGTTCCATTGATTCGTACTTGGCACTTTGTCAATAGCGAACGAGTGCTGAAACTGACATTTTCCACACAAGTGGAAAATGGACTTCCATTTAACAAAATACACCTTCGCACTGCTACACTTTTTTGACGCACCCTGTATGCTTAAAACTGAATTAAAGTGCTCTCCACGAAGCGAGATAGTAGAGGTAAACAAACAGGCGGAGCTTAAAAATTCAGACAAGGACTGCAAAAATATGAATTACAACTAATGACATTTATTATTGTTGACGGATTTTTCTTCCGAGTAGAGCAAAAACGACCAAACTTCTTGTGTTTTGTGTAAAATCTTATTTTTTTTCGAATTTAGGAAACATTTATATGGATTTAAAATGCACACCAACACCAAGACGAATTCTCATTCAGAACTATTTTGACATTTTTTTTAAACATAGATAACAGGTAAACTGCCAAAGTAAACTGTAAAACTTTCTGGTGGCGTTGATTGTTGGTTCATTCCGCACCTGTAGTTCTGTTTCACTCCAGCGTCCCCAAGCGGATGCGATCCGAAGCTTTTTTTTTAGGCCCCGCCCTCCATTAAACTTTTTTTTCTATCCGTGAGGATATGTGTTCTGTGGATCACCCTATACATATATATTTAGAATATGGGTGGTAACCATTTTTTGGACAACCCTGTAGTATAAATATTGGTAACAGTATATTGACAATAAATAAGTACTTATTGGTCGATCTCTAACTGGTTGCCAAAATCAATTTATCAATCAATAATATTTTTATTGTAGACGACGAAGAAACGCCTTCTAGCAGCAAACCAACATATGCAGATAAAGTAAAATATGGCAAACCCAAGAAAACTGTTCACAACAATTTAGTCCACTTCGACAAACCGAGCCGTTCTATCAGCGTCGACAGGAAATCGTCTACTGGCCGAAAACGATCCAGAAGCAGTTCGAGATCGAGAACATCGAAAACAAGAAGTCACAAAAATACACAGAGTCGATCCCGTTCACCGCACAGCAAAAGGCGTAGGTCAAAATCTAGAAGCAGATCCAGTTATAGAAGTCGTTCCAGGTCCTACAGGATAGAAAAAAACAGCAGAAGTAGATCCAGGTCCAATAGAATAGAAAAAAGCAGCAGAAGTAGATCCTTGTCTGTTAAAGCTCGGAAAGGCAGGAGTAGAAGTAGATCTAAAAGAACAAGGTCAAGTAGGAGTAGATCCAGATCCAGAAAAAGTAGGAGCAGGAGTAGACAAAGACCACTTCGTCGATCAGTTTCATCTTCATCACTCTCGACCAGCAGTAGCAGCAGCATTAGTAGTAGTTCAGGAAAATCAAGATCTAAATCTCCAATGGGAAAAAGTAAGAGCAGAAGTCCAGTAGCGCCTGCACCACCAATAATCCGATACTATGGAAGAAAAAAGAGCGATATGAGCTCTTCAGAGTCTGACACTTCTGAGGATGATGGAGATTATGGAACTAAATCGGAACATGCGTGAGTAAAGTATCTATATTTGGATTTAGTCATAATTTTTTACCGATTTTAAAATTAATTTTGTTTCTTATAGGGGCAGTAGCGATTCAAACCATAGATATGGTAATAATTCAGGCACCGGCACCAAAGTCAGTAAGAACCACAAGAATTACACCATTTATAACTCTGCTTTTAATGTTTCAGGATTGTGATTTAAAGAATTGTTAAAATTTAGTTGCTGAATATTTCAATAGCATTTTTTTTTTGTTTTTCAATTTTTAGAAACCTTCTTCCAGTTTGACAGTTATTGAACGCCTTAGGCTCAAGAGACAGGCTTTAATTAACAGACAATGTAAGCGACGGACGGGTTTCTCTTGAAATTTTAAACCGTTAAATATTTTTATTTCTAGTTAAAAAAGACAAAATTGCCGAAGTTCAAAAAATAATGCGAGAAAAACAAGCTCAACAAACTAGAGAAGATGAACTTCGGGAAATGGCTATTAAATTACGGAGAAGGTATTAATTTTTCCTTTTGATGCAGAGAAAACTTAGCAGATACATTATGGAGTAAATGCCATTTCTGACTAATAATAAGGATTTCTTATATAGGTTCAATATTAGTAAAAGGGTTTGTCAGTTAGAAGGACAAATCGCTGTTTCAACTCCCAATTCCAGCTGTCTTCAATTGTTTAATCATTGAAGTTTAATCTATTAATTTTTGTACTTAGGCAAAGAGAACTACGTCACGCCAATGACAGATCTTCCAGCTCGGACTCGGAAAAAAGCGACCTATCCAAAAAGAAAGAAGCCAGCGTTTCTCCTCCGAGAAATCGCGACAGGGGTGAATATAGTAGAAGTGACAAGGATAGAGATAGAGAAAAAGATAATAAAGATGATAGAGAAAAAAGAAGAAGCTCCAGCAGGGATAAAAATAGGCGCGAACGTAGCAGTAGACATAACAGATCTAGATCTAGAGATAGAAGTAGACGGTCTAGATCCAGGTCAAGCAGAAGGTATGACAGGGATAGAAGGAGAAGTAGGACACCAGAGACTAGAGAGTCTTCTACTAGGAAACTAGTTGATTATTAATAATAATAGTGTCTTATTATTACCTTCTAAGCAATTATTATGACCTATTACGAAGCAATTACTAGGTCTGTTTCTGCAGAAATCAAAAACCATAGTGAATTTTATTGGTTGAAACTAGTTTTCTGACTGTTTTCAACCAATGAAATTCGCTCTGACTGGTTTATAGTTTCTGTGGAAACAGACATATCAACTTTCCTATTTGAATAATAACAATTTAGTTTGAGTTTTACAACTCATGAGTTTGGGGTTTAGAATAATGCATATTATTTTTGGGTTGATTATATCATGAGTATTTTTATTTTAGTTTGATAGATTGATTTATAGGGTAAAATATTATGTATGTATTTATTGCAATAAATATTTCGGGGCAGTCATTATTTTTATTTCATACTGTATCGTGAAACACATGTTCACCTACTTAGTTTTAGTCCGGAAAAATGAACCTTAGTGGGCATTTACAGCAAAGTAACTAGCAACGTCCGACTCGCTGCAGGAAGCACGTTGCAAGTTGCGTCTTCCATGTTTGTCGCATTTTTGCGACGCCACTCTGGTGTGAAACCTTCCATATAATGTCCAAAGGTTAATCGAAAATCAAACTGTAAACCAGTTTCTGAAATATTTGAACTTTTGATAAAGTTGGCTTGGCATTGCCTCAAAACTCCTCAATCACTAGAACTACGGGTATGTTGTTTGCTCGCTATTCCAAATTCATTCCTCCTGCTTTTTTTGGAGGAAATTCGTTACAGAATCCATAGTCCTAGTGTACGCCGAGAACCTTTTCATCCATTCGACGCCTGATTTTCCGAACTGCAAGAAGAGAACAGGAACATGGGATTTTAATACCGCAGACTCAATTATCGAACGTAGCCAATTCTTTGACAGTGGCGGCGAAATGGGCAGGCGCCGACGCAGGCGGCGTTTGTTCACCTTGCCAAGTTTAGAGGTCAAATTACGGCTGGTTCCCTAATCCCTGTTGAAAGAGGTCCAAGAGGAATTTATTAAAAAGTTAAATATTTTCAAACTATTCAAAAAACAAAGCAGGTAAGTTATCTTACGAATATATCAAATAATTATCCTTCTTGTATGCTTGTTGTTTGCTGGTATCATATTCCTATTACAAAATTAGAAATCATGGGCCCATAGACCCAAGAAAGTACTTTTTAATTTAAAACAATGTTTATACAAATAGGGAGGATAGATAGGTATGTATAAAAAATAGATTTTATTCCCTTTTTATTTTTTTATATTTTTGCACTTTGCACTCAATTCTACATCCATATACCTTTAATCAATTTTTGTAAATAGATAATTACCTATAGGTATTTCATTTGATGGTGATGAACTCTCATGTATTTTGTAATATTTCTCTTATAAATACTTACTTTACTACCAATGTATAAGTGATAAGAGAGTTTTTTCCGGGCTATATTGCTGTGGTTTAGTGATATTATATTATCATATATCTACCTAGGTAGAAATATCACTAGATCACAGCATTATAGCCCGGAACAAAGTATTTTATTAGATTTGACCAGTCATGAAAGCCTTCATTCGTTAATGTATAAGTAGTTTGGGCAATGATAAATTAAACTGAAAAATTGAATTGAAATTGAAATAATGAGGAATCTGTAGCAAGAGCAAGATTCCAAGTAGGTAACACAAACAACTCTTTGGAAAATTGAAAAATACCTAATAGACTCATGACTCATTACCTACTTAAACCAAAGAATATTATAACTAAGTAGTCATAGTCATAGTCAATCATACTTTATTATCCAAGAAAAAAACATTCTATTGACAAAGCATTAACTTAAAAGTAAAACAGAAAAATATAAAATAAATCACCAATAGTACAATGCAAATACAAACAAGTTAAAAAAAATTGACAAATAGTACGGCGATCCAAGCAATATAACATATACTTAAAACTATACTAAAATAATAAAATGTAAATAAAAGCGTTCATTGATAAAAGACAAGAGTACTTAAAAACAAAAACGGTTGTACAGTCATACAATTCAATTCAATTCAATTCAATTTATTCAATTATAAGCTGTACAATTAAATTGTAATTTCAACAATAATAATAAATTGGCACCTAGATGTCTATGCATCTGTGTGTGCCAAAAACTATAAGTAATTAAATTTATTATTAAAGCTATAGCTAGGAGAATTAAATAACAAAAAAGAAAATAATAACAATAAACATTTCAATAAATAATTCAAATATATCAAAGTACCTACAATATGCCAATTTCTTAAATTAAAACAAGAACTGAATAATTTCAGACAAACTCCAACACAGTACGCCACTTCCATGAAGTATATGTCTTTCGTGTTTAGAAAAACTTTCGTTTATTTTTTATTATGTAAGTCAATGCCTGTTTATTGAATTTTTTTAAAGGATAGTTCTTGTTCCTCATTTCCAGTGGCAACAAGTTATGGAATTTTGGTGCCAAAAACGTAGAAGAATGTTTACTTAAGTCACGATTTATTTTAGGTAATATTAGTTGTTGATTTATATTGTTCCTGGTTTCATATCTATGGTTCGTTATAGAATGTTTGTAATGGTATTTCTGGATGTGGGAACAGCAAGTCGATATGAAGATGGTTTTTATGTCTATAATTTCCTCATTATAAAGTTGTACTGTTGAAAAAAGTCTTGGTTTTTTAAAAATTATTTTTACTATTGAATTTTGTGCAGTCTTTAAATTCTTGATGTTACTCTCATATGCGCCTCCCCACACCAGAATCCCATATTTCAACAGCGGCTCAATTAAAGCTTTATAAATTAAAATTAATAATTTTCTGGTGAGGAGTTCTCTCAACATATAAAATTTATGTAATAGTGCCCTTATCTTTTTTGTTAAATATAAAATATGATGGTCCCATCTTAAATTTTTGTCAATGTGTACACCCAAATATCTAAATACAGTGTCACTATAGTAGTCCTCCAAGCTGTAGTAAGCCTTTTGCAACAAAATATCCTTAACACTCCTACGAAATAGTTTGTAGTTTCTGATCGTTTTAAGTTCATTACTTAGATGGTTGAAAATTTTTTTTGCTCTCATAGAATATTGAGTGTTTTGCTAAAGCAGACTTTGGTATAGCTAAGCCTATATTAGTGTTCGAACTTACTCTAGTGTTGTACCCAATATCCCGAGTTTCCAAACCTGAATATTTCTTGTGCACAAGACACACAGTTTCTAAAACGAACAAACATGGTACAGTTAAAAAAAAATTCCTAATAAATAACGGTTGACAATGTTCACGACCTGCAACTTCACACAAATAACGAATTGCCCTCTTCTGCAAAACAAATATCGAGTTAAACTGTTGCCTGTTAGTAAATCCCCAAAAAGCTATACCATATCTCACAAGAGATTCAAATAGTGAGTGATAAACCATTTTTGTGGTAGAACAACTAAGCTCGTTGGAAACTATTCTGATTGCAAGTAGGTAATGCATTAGATGTAATATTCTGAAACACTAAGAAGAAGGTACCTATATCAAATATACCTACCCAGTGGCCATTTAATTAGTAGTGTTCCCAATAGTTATTTTCCTGGTATGGTAGGTATTTAAACTTTAGAAAAAAAATGATCCTAGGTATATTAAAGTTAAATGGGATTGAAGGAAAGTAACTTATTTTCGAATAGGTACCATCGTCACCAAAAGCAACTGGGACAGCAAGACAACATCATATTAGCCCTTGTACTATTATATGATTTTTAGTGTCAAGTATTTGTCAAACTATGAATTTAAATGAATGATGCTAGAATTAGTCCAGGAGATTATTATGAATTATTTTTGTCCCAGATACTTTTGGTGATGATGGTACAGGGTGATCCAATATAAAGCGAACACCCCCTACCTTTCCGCTTAAAAACTGATTTTTGAAAAAATCAAGATGGCCATTTGGTGTATTTCATTTCTAGGAATTTGAAAACGTTTTCTGAAATTTAATTACATTTTTCGTTTATGGGCTGCAATGGAAAAAGTAATTTTTTTAAATGAAATAACCTATATTTAAATCTATTCTTCAAATGCCCATATTTTTCTCTCGATTTTTCTGATTTCAAATATACAGTTTGTTTATCTTTATTTTTGTAATTTGCGATTTACCAGGTGCCCACGAGATTATACTTTCCGGCAGCCATTTTTTTATTTGTTTATCGGTATCAACAAAACCTGAGCTGGTTTCCAGTGCCTAAATTGTTAGAGTATCATGTTCCTGGAGTGTGACGCTCTTGAACTGTTCGACATAAGCAGCACTGGAATGCTTTCGTCTTAACCCCCACCATTTCGGACTTCAGGAGCATGGAACACCGAAATAAAGGTTGGTGCACGGGGGGCAGGGGATAACAGAAATGAGTAGTTCAAATGTACGACACTCTAAGCACTGGAACGCGCAAAGTAATTGTGGAGCACTCCTGAGCTGCTCAGGAGTAACCGAGGGGTGTGTCACTTCTGGAATTACATGTACATTTTCTTGATTGTATTGTTGAAGTCACAGGAATTCGCTTAGTAGTCATTGAAAGTTTGGCAGTCAGTGACGCAATTCCGCGTAGTCGCTAGAACTCACTTGGCAGTCACTGGAAGTCGCGCGGTAGTCACTGGAAGTCGCGCGGCATTCATTGGTATTCACGACAATTCTGAGGAGTTTGGTCGCGGCATTCGCAGTCACTTGCCACACTCTTTTGATCACGAATTTGATTTGTGCAATATTTATATAGAATCCTCAATAGAAACATTTGTTTAGTTGTTTGACATGATATTTGAAACGTAAGTGACGTAGTAAGCAACATGAAAAAACTTGTAGAAACCTGAGCACAGAGATTCAACGCAGATGAGCGTTCTGAAAATAATCTCTCGACATCTTTCATAATTATGAAAGCCAAGAAAATGAATCACAATCCCTAGGACAATCCACAATAACGCATATAAAAATGTATAATTCATACTTCTAGTAATTTTTTATCTAATTTGGGAGACCTTTCAGAAGACTTAGAAATCAAACGAAAACGATCTCTAGCTAATATAGACAAAATGGCAGTGGTTTGTGGTATTAAAAGAGGGAAATCCATGGATATGATGCCCAGAGTGTGATTTTGTTACTGTTAGTGTAGTCTAAATACCCACAAAAAAACATGGGTTCGCTCAAATTTTAATAGGCATATCAAGACTCGTTTTTCTCAAACTAGTAAAAAAAATCACAAAGACCAAGAAGGATCCTCAAAAAACCCAAGCATTCTCTCATACCTCCAAAAAAAACCTTCATCATCAAGCTCAGTATCAGAGATGCCATCATCATTTGACATTTCCGGTATTATCGTCAGTGTTAGGACCTCCTATTATTCTGCCTGGATCTCCTAAGGAATCATCTGACCCCTTGATTACAGGAAACAGCCTTCATAACATTGATGAAGATATACTGGAAGTTTCTGAGTTGATTGAAGTGGATGCTTGTGAAGATCTAGAGAGACTAGGTGGGAATCAAAATTTTGTACATGGCAGAACAACTAAAGATGAGATGGAAGACAATTGTTCTGCCTCAAAAAAAAACTATTCCTCGTTATCATTCAACACGCAGAGGCACCATTACAAGGAACGATCGATTAAAAACACAAAGACTTCTCTCTTTCTTCAATTTTAAAAGACCTTCTAATTCCTTTATTAATCAAGATATCCAAAAACGAAAAATACTTTCTATAAGCAGTTTTCCAAGAAGAATCCAGTGGCATGGCCAATTTTTCGCCAGATGCCTCTGATTTTGAAATATTGACCAAAGTTGTGTTTTTTTAAATGGGACACCCTGTATATTATTTTTTTTTGTGAGCTGATTTCAATGATATAAGGTTTTATACCTTCACCTTCTATAGTTTTGGAGAAAAAAAAATTAATTCCGTTTTTCTATAAGAAACAATGAGCTAGAGAGAGATAGGTCATTAAATAAATTATGTGTTGCCTATTTATCACCCCCGATTCATAGTTCAAATCTCGGTTCAAATTTAAAAGAAAGTTAGCTAAACTGAAAAATT